TTGACCTGTCTGGATTCACCTCTGCCTGCGACCTGGGAGGTGTGTACACCCCACGGAGTCTCTGTGTCACCAGCTGCATGCGTGTCGTTTCCTGTGCCATATTGCATGTGACTGACAGGATCATGAGCCTGCAAAACAGGGTTATCTCTTGAAAAACACCCCAAAGACTCCTGAGCTGCCAGCTTGCATTTCCCTATTCTCCCTGCACACCCATCCTCCCAGTGGCCCAGAGTGGCTGCTGAATCACCAGCCATCACATCTGCTTTGACAAACCAGAAAGGATTAGGGATGGTACCAGACCTCCACAACTTTGCCCTGAGGATTCTCTTGTGACGCTGTGGACCCGCCCCACTCCCTTGCTCACCTGCATGGTCTTGACCTTGGGAGGCCCCAATGCCCACAGGAGACACCAGCCATCTGCATCATGCCTGGCTGTATTTCACAGCAGTGGCTTCAATGCAGGTTCCAGAACATTGCTTGATTTTGCCTCAGTTGCCCTTTGGAAACTCACTCAGGCATCCCTAAGTGCTGGGAAGGGCAGGTAGGGGTACAGTGTGTGATTTCACCTGCAGGATCCACAGGCGCCCTTGCCTACGAACTGGCCCGCAAGTACCCAGGTCTGAAGGTGACTGTATTTGACCTGCCAGAGGTCATCGAGGATGCCGTGTGCTTTCAGCCCGATGGACCCCAGACAGGGCAGGTCAGCTTCGTGCCAGGTACGCCTCCTGTGCCTTTGCATCTGGTCAGCACTTGTGTGACCTGTGACACGGAGCCCTGTCCCTGTGTGTGCGTGGGTGTGGTGTCTGTGCCTCTGCAGGTGTGTGTCTGTGCTGGTGGGTGTCTGAGTGCTGTGCTCACATCTTTCTGCACAGGGGCCCTTCTTCCACCTGGGGAAGGTTGCAGGACCCCCGTCCAGTACAAATGCTCAGCACTCTGGGTCCTTTAGATAAGATGAGGCAGTGTCTGCTTGTCCCCAACCCACTCCCTCCTGTGGACTTCCAATGCTGTCTGGATTCCCCTGTAAACCCCTGACACAGTGTCAGTGCTGTGTGAGGCTGTTACACTGTCTCCTTTCAGGAGTAACAAGAAAAACAAGTCTAGGTTTGGGGCAGACAGAGACATGCCCCTCGATTGCATAGTAACAATGTAACATTTCCTCCTTGGGCAACAGCATGTAATTGTCTGAAAAGGTTTCCCTGTGTATTTTTTGTTTTCTTTGGCTAAATATAAATCACACAGCTTGGGTTCCTAAAAAAGCCCAGGAATTCCCTGGGCCTCCATCCTGGAGATCGACCCTCTGATTCCAGGTGTCCTGCTGCCCCAGTCCCTCCAGGGGCTGCAGGGAGGGTCCTTTGCACCTCTTCCAGCTCCTGGAGCTCCAGGTGCCCCTGGGCTGGTACTCACGTCCCTCCCGTCTCTGCCTCCACCTCTACGTGGCTTCTCCTCCTTTCTGCATCTCCTCTTCTGACACTTCCAAGGACACTGCTACTGGATGTGAGGCCACCCTGACCCAGGACGGCCTCCACTCCGACCCTCCACCCATCCCACCTGCAAACACCCTGTTTCCAGAAGGAGCCACTCCCAGGTTCCAGAGTTAGGACTTGGATTGTGTTTGGGTGGGGGTCACTATCCCCCCACTGTAAGCAGACTCCTTTTCCGTTCAGTTTGGAGGCGGTGCCTCCCCTTTTCTGTCTCGGGGAGAACTGGTTCTCATATTCCTGACGGAATGATTGCCCTTTTTGTGTCCACCAGGGGACTTTTTCCGAGACACCCTCCCGGAGGCCGACCTGTACATTCTGGGCAAAGTTCTGCACAACTGGCCCGACGACAAGGTGCACCAGCTGCTGAGCCGCATCTCCCGCAGCTGCAAACCAGGTGAGACGGCCTCTTTGACCTCCTCTTCAGACACACAGGAAGACTGCTCCACTGTTTAGAAAAGTAACGTTTATGCACCGTAAGGGGCTGCCACACTCCCTGTGGTGCTCAGTTTACAGACTTCAGAGCTCGCTCTTGACTGGAGGATGTGGACACAAGTGCCTGCATGTTGGGACAGGTGCCCCTGAGCCTGGCTCCCCTGAGTGTCACTGTCCCGCCCTGCAGGGCCCTGAGGGAGCCTTTGGTTTCCTGCCCCTGGTGACCCCTGCCAGGGCTGCCAAGCCCAGTGAGTCCCTTCATCTGCACCTAATCCTGTCTCCCTGTCACACCCATGCTCCACCTTCCTGCCCTCCCCCCTCCCCCTGGCCAAGCTGCTGCTGCTGCTGCTCCAAGCAGCTGGGGCCCAGGGTCCAGTCACCTGCTCCCAGGTGGGCTCACAGGGGCCCCTCCTATAATGAAAGTTTCCACCTGTGTCCTATGCAGAGCATGCCCTCAGAGGACCTGGTGGGTACCCCCAGAGGACCAGGCACCCTCATTCCCCCCTGACCTGTTACCTGTCCCTGCTCCCTTTCTTCTCCCTGCTCACTCCCTCTGTCTCTCCCTTCGTGTCTCCCCATGTCTCCTTGGGTCTCTGGGTCTCGTCTCTGTCTCCCTCTCTCTCTGTGTGTCCCTGTCTGTCTTTCTCTCTGTCTCCCCTCCACCTTCCTGTCTGACTCTCCAGGCCGGTGGGATGTGTCTGCCTCCTGTATCCCTGAGGGCTGGAGTCCCTCAGCCCCCTCTCCTGGGTGCGGGCCAGGACACCAGTGGCTGCTCTTGTGCACGCAGGTGGCGGCCTCCTGGTGGTGGAAATGCTGCTGGACGAGGACAAGTGCAGGCCCCTGCCTGCCGTGCTGATGTCGCTGAACATGACGGTGCTGTTCCAGGCCAGGGCGCGCAGCCTGAGCGAGTACCGCAGCCTGCTGCAGGCGCACGGCTTCACCGACGTGCGGGCCGTGCGCACTGGGACCATCCTGGATGCCGTGCTGGCCACCAGAGCCTGACGGCCACCCGCATTCCAGTCCCAGGGTCACTCCCCTGGGGGGACACTGGCTCACAGTCCCCCACCGTGGCCCATAGGTAGAGAGTGTGCTGCAAGGGGCTGGAGTCACCCCCAGGCTAAGGAACGGGGCCAGCAGCGGCACCTGGAGCTTGCGGGTGGGGCTGCAGGGGACAAGGGCAGTGCCAACTGGGGTCCCTCCCTTCACGATGCCGGGCCACCCGTCGTCTGTGGGGGCCTGGCCTGGGGCCTCCAGCAGGTGGACCTCCATAACACGGGCCGTGTCCCACACCGCCCTCTCTCCACCAGCCCTTCCCACCACCTCCCACCGCTTCTCTCCTCTCCCCAGCCAGACTTCTAGTTTTACAAGATCACAGCTTAGGCAGGAGAAGGTTGACTGGGTGAAGGTGATTGTTCAGCCGACATGTCCCCAAAGTCTGCAGCTGGGACTCTGTGTCCTGGTAAAGTGTCCGTTTCCCTAAAGAGTAAGAAAGTGGGTGCACACTCGGCAGTGGGGGGCAGTCGTCAGGGTGACTGGTGGTATCGTTCAGATGGATCTGTTCAATCTCCTTCGCAGCTCAAATCAGCAGCCTGATAGTCACACAGCTTGTAGTCATAATTTTCCGAGTGAGAATGGGTTTCATAGACAATGTGGAAGTTGGTTTTCAAGATGCACACACACACATGATTGATACAGTGTAGGTAATCACACAGATAATCACTCATGCCCTGTCCTGGATGGACACCTTGGTCCTCCACTCTCCAGGGATCCCTTAGCCGAGGAACCACCGACCTACGGGAAACCCCAGTTTGCAGAGTGACAGGCAGGTAACACCTGTGAGAACTAGGGAAGGGTCCCTGGTCCCCTGAGACCACTTTCTGTGCCTCTGTGGCTGTTGGAAATGCTCTTAGAAACAATGAACACAATGGGATGGGAAGACTCACAGCCTGAGTGTCTGGTTATTGTGAACACGTTGCGAACACTGTGGATTTCAGGGCTTGGGGGGAAGGGTGGGGGGAGGATGGCCACCCGTGTCTCTCTCCTCAACGGGACTTCCTTCTCAGGAATGGGCAGGCAGCCCCAGGTGGGGGTGGGTGGCAGAGCTGAGCCCCACCCTTTGGGTGCAGTTCCCTCATTCGCTTGGCTCGTTCATGGGGTGTGTGAGTGCCCCTGGACCCGGGACAGTCTGGGAGGGTCGTCCCTGGGGGTAACGTCTGCCCTATGGGGGGTGGGGGTGGGGAACAGCTGGGGACATCGGGCTGTCACATTACCACCTGAGAGCACATGGCCTCACCCCTCGCCTACACTGTCTGGGACCCTCGTGGGTCCCCAGCCCAAGTAGCCTGCTGGCCCCCCAGCACCCAGGTTGCTTACACGCTGAGCCAGGCTCACTGCACCCAGGCCTCATCACCCTGAGGGACATGCAGAGCCTTCCCAGGACTGGACCCCAGGCCTTGGGGAGCCCAGGGTGGGTGAGCGGCCCCTGCCTCTGTCCCTACCCTCAGGCGCCCGTGCCCATCCCCCTTATCAAGGACCCACGCTTCGTGGCTGCTGGGCAGACCTGAAGGTCCTCCTGAACCACCCCAGTGGGGGCGGTCCTGCTCAGCAATCCCGAGATCCCGGGGATCCTTGTCCAGCTAGTACAATGGTAAGGCCGCGAACTGACCCCCAGAGAGCCCTGGGGACCTGGGAGTCGAGGGACACAATGCGCAGACAGACTCGGGTTGCCAGTTGGGACCAGCGGGCCACAGGAATACAGGGTGTGGGCGTCACAGGCTGCAGAAGAAGCCTGGAAGCTGAGCTCAGTTCGGGGCGGGGCTCTGGCTAATGGGCGGGGCTTCCCTGGGGGCGGGGCCCGGCCAGGAGAAGTGGGCGGGGCCTCCATCCCGGAAAGTCCCAGCTGAGTGGTGAGAACCAGCCCTGGGGGCGTGGTCGGCCCTGGGGCGGGGCTGTGTGGGCGGGGTCTCCTGGGCTGGGGGCTTCAATAGACCAGGCCACCTCTCCAGGTCCACAGACCCAGTGTCAGAACGAGGGGTGAGGCAGACCCTCCGCTTGGGGCCCAGGGAGTGTGGCGCGGACTCGAGAGTCATGGGCTTGTTCCGGGTGATCCCGAAGCTGCTGCATAACCGTGTGGTGATGGCCTGTGCTGCCCCGCGCCACCAGCAGGTCCCCAGGAATGCCCTGAATAGCCGGAACAGAACCGGGTCGGGTTCTGGGGTGCGAGGGGCAGGCTAGTGATCCGGGAGCCTAGTGACCCTGGGGCCTGGGGCCCATGGACTGGTGCAGATGGGTCACCTGGTGCCCTTGGCGCTGTGATTGGGGCCCGGTGGGCATGTGGGGACCAGGGACAAGGTGTGAGGTCCATGGAGTTCAGGCCCAGAGCTAGGAACGGGGCAGTGGGGTCTGGGGCAGAGGCGTGCGGGCAGCTCCCAGTGGCTGGGGTCCAGGTGTGTGGGCCTGGGGAAGCCAGAACCGGTGCCATCTGGGCTCCGGGTTTGTGCCTGGTCTCATGGTCTGGTGTCCTCCATGACGTGGCCGTTTGGCAAAATGAACTGGTTCCATGTACCCAGCTGCCTCTGCCCTGAGGCTGCTGGGGAGGGGGAGGGACAGGGCTTTATGGGTGATCTGCAGGGCTGGCAAGGACAGAGGTCACTGATGCCAGGTCCTCACGGTGCACAGTATGGGCAGTCGGGGGGCCATGGACACAACCAGCCTCTTTCACAGACCAGGGACTGTCTTGCTAGGTGAGGATATCTACGGGACCCGCGTAAAGGAGCCTCATTTCCTCAAACAGCGTATTTTTGTCCTTGGCATTTTTACCCGCTCTATATTTCCAGTGCTGGGCCCCTGGGGAGGGGGTGGAACAGTGAACTTGGGAATGTCCTGGGAGCTGTTCCACCCCCAGGGGTTCGATCCCTGTACCCAGCACCTTTGTCAATACTGTCCCCAGGCGTTTGTGTGACCCGGGTCCACACGTCACTTTCCTGTAGGTCTGGAGATCCGGCTCAGCCGGAAGTGGCTATTGGGGTAACTTCACTGTCGGCCACAGGGGCTGAGAGGCCACACTGGCTGTACCCCAACCTGTTCTGTTGGGCACTCCTGAGACCCTCACCCCCTCACGGCCCCTCTTCCCCCATTGCAGGGGCTCAGGTTCATGGTGGTTTCTTCCAAGTTTGAAGAGAATCTCAGTAAAGCCTCCTCCCCTACCCGTTTCCCACGTGTCATGAAAACAGCCAAGCAGAAGGCCCTGGAGGTGGTCCGGAGCATGCACCAGGCAAGGACTCTGCTTCTGCCACCTGGGGATCTGGGGCCACAGGGGAGGTGGGGGAAGGTGGGGCTCAGGTTTGAAGGAGACCTGTTGCATAAATGCTGTCACAGTGTGCCGTCACGCAGCTTATTCAGGGCTGAGGGGTTGCAGGGTAGTATACTCTTCCCTCTCATGTAGCGTTTGTGTAGCCCCAGCTTGTCACAAAGAATTGACGTAGCAGGTCTGTTGCATTGTTACTCTATCACAGACTACGGTAATTTGTGTGAAGGTGTCATTTACAATAAAGAATTAATGTAGCTTTCCTATTACATTGTTACCTAATAACACTTACTTATTATTGCAGCTAATGGTATCATTTCTATAATATAGATTGTGAATTACTTTGTTGCTATGTCATAGCGCATTGTCATTCTTACATCAGTATTATTTATTTTAATGCACGTATAACCCGAGTTACCATACAATACTTTCCTATAATGAACACAATGGTGCCTTCCACTGTGTAGCATTAATGCAGCTTATCACTAGATGGTATAGTAATATGCTACGGGAGCTGGGATACTACCTGCATTGTAGGTAATACTGTGAGTATTGGTGTAAATGAGTGAGAGCTGAGAGACTGATATTCGGCAGGGGGAGGTTAGTGTGCAAGTGCACCCCAAGGACCCTGTGGGGTGCACATTGTGGGGGACTGCATGGGGCCCACACGCTTGTCCCCACCCAGCATGAGGGGGCACACGGGCCTTGCTCTCCCAAGTGAGCCCAGACACCAGCAGTGAGGCCGTCTGTGTGCACCACACCACAGAAATGTGTCCCTTCTGAAGCTGAGCTCGGGTTTCTGCAGAAACACGGGAAGGCCGTGGAGGATGCAGATGGTAACCCCACGGTGCAGAGCCTCCCCCCGACTGCCATTGTGGAACTGATAGACAGCTTCAAGGTGTCCAAGGTGACCTGCGGAGGGCCCTGGGGTGGCCGGGAGGGAGGGTACAACCCGGGGCCTAAACCCCAGGAGCTCACAGTGTTTGTGTCCTGGAGACCAGGCGTCTGACGTCCACGGCTCCCTGGGCCACGCTCCCCCCTCAGGTCCCAGGGGGGGTCTCACTGAGCTGCTGTTCCCGCCCAGGCCCTGTTCACGGCTTGCAAGATGAAGGTGTTTGATGTGCTGAGAGACGAAGGCCCCCTGAGTGCGGCGGACGTTGCCAGGAAAATCGATGCCTCTGAGGGGGGAACTGGTCAGCTGCTGGACGTCTGTGCAGCCCTGGGCCTGCTGGACAAGACAGAGGGAGGTGAGGGGACTCGGAGGTGTTCCGTGGAGAATCTCAAGAGGTGGAAGCAGGTCACTGAGTGGACGTGGCCTCTGAGCCCAGCAGGGATGACCTCACGGGCTGCCCCTCTGCCCCAGATGCCTGGCTTCCGACCCAGAGGGTGGGACAGAGGATGGATGGAGGAAAGGAAAACGGGTGTGTGTGTGTGTGTGTGTGTGTGTGTGTGTGTGTATAGTGACTCCTCATGTCTCTGCTCTCAGAGGGGCTGTGTCCGTGAGGGACCTCCAGAGACACGGAAGAAACAGGACTTTTCTGTGTGCACAACACAGACAGGGGTTGACTTAGAGAGACAGACGAGACGGCAGGAGGAGAGATGAGAGACACATAGATGGATGGATGGATACTCGCATACAGTGGACGGAAGGGTGGGGAGAAAGCAGAGAGATGGATCGGTGGGGAGGTGGAAGGAAGGACAGAAGGAAGAAGACAGATGTGTAGTGGAAGGTGCAGATGATAGTGGGTGGATGGGGCGATGGGTAGGTGGAGAGTCAGGAGCACTGGGTGAACATACGGATATAGAACAGACCAGAGAAGAGACGGACAGATGGATGGATGGTCGAATGGATGGTTGGTTGGATGGATGGACGGGTAGTGCCATGGTTGGCTGGAAAGACGGAAGGGTGGACGGGGGATGGGTGGGTCCACAGATGGAAGGATGTGCAGGAGGATGGATGGGCGGCTGTGACCATGGATAGGTAGCTGGTGAGACTGATGGGTGCATGGAAGAATGGACACATAGGCCAGTGAATGGATGGGTGGATTCTTGAAGGTGGAGATGGAGGAGTGGATGGAGGGATGGAGGGATGGATGGACAGACAGCAGATGGATGGAAGGAGTGCATCCGGGCTCACTGACCATCCCAGGGCCCTTGGGGGAAACCCCTGAGGGGGAACTCACCCCTCCTTCAGCACCTGAGCCCCCCTGAGGCCTGCTCCCTGAGGAGCTGCCTGCCAGCATGGGGTGAGCAGCAGTCTGGGGGATGGTGTTCGTGCTCCTTCTCCGTGGGCCTCAGTGGTGGTCTGGTGGTGGGACCAGCTGCACCCTCACTGTGAGGACCTCACCTGTCACTTCAGGTTACAGCAACACGCCCCTGGCCACCCTGTACCTGCTGTCGGATGGCGAGTACTCCCTCCACAGCCTCATCATGATCCCACGAGGAAGTCGCCTGGCCCTTCTTCTCCTACCTGGACTTTGCTGTCCAGGGAGGGCACCGTCCCAGGGTCGGAGAGCTCTGGGCACAGCGGGGGAGGACCACTATCAGGTGACGCAGCCAGAGATGTTCCTTCCGTGCATGGGTCAGGGAAAGGATCTGAGGGGACGGGATCCGTGTCCGTCCTGGGGCTGCACGAAACTTGGAAGCCCACTGAGCGTTTGCCTTGTGGATGCCACCAGTCCTGATGGAGTCCACTGTGGCAGGGGTGGGTGGCGGAGGGGCGGAGAAGGGAGAGGGCAGACACACAGGGAGGCAGAGAGAGGGACACAGATTCACAAGACAGACAGACAGACACAGACAGATGCACAGAGAGATTCCCAGTCCCAGGGACTTGTCAGTAGGGGTTGCCGCCCGGGTACAGGAGGCCCGGCGCCTGCGTGCCTGCTCACACCCTGCTCTGCCTCAGGAGTTGTTCTACCAGAATTGAGAAAAGAAGCTGCAGTTCATGCGGGCCATGCACGGCCACACCAAGGTGGCTGCCCGCCAGGTGTCCACAGCCTTTGACCTGTCTGGATTCACCTCTGCCTGCGACCTGGGAGGTGTGTACACCCCACGGAGTCTCTGTGTCACCAGCTGCATGCGTGTCGTTTCCTGTGCCATATTGCATGTGACTGACAGGATCATGAGCCTGCAAAACAGGGTTATCTCTTGAAAAACACCCCAAAGGACTCCTGAGCTGCCAGCTTGCATTTCCCTATTCTCCCTGCACACCCATCCGCCCAGTGGCCCAGAGTGGCTGCTGAATCACCAGCCATCACATCTGCTTTGACAAACCAGAAAGGATTAGGGATGGTACCAGACCTCCACAACTTTGCCCTGAGGATTCTCTTGTGACGCTGTGGACCCGCCCCACTCCCTTGCTCACCTGCATGGTCTTGACCTTGGGAGGCCCCAATGCCCACAGGAGACACCAGCCATCTGCATCATGCCTGGCTGTATTTCACAGCAGTGGCTTCAATGCAGGTTCCAGAACATTGCTTGATTTTTGCCTCAGTTGCCCTTTGGAAACTCACTCAGGCATCCCTAAGTGCCTGGGAAGGGCAGGTAGGGGTACAGTGTGTGATTTCACCTGCAGGATCCACAGGCGCCCTTGCCTACGAACTGGCCCGCAAGTACCCAGGTCTGAAGGTGACTGTATTTGACCTGCCAGAGGTCATCGAGGATGCCGTGTGCTTTCAGCCCCATGGACCCCAGACAGGGCAGGTCAGCTTCGTGCCAGGTACGCCTCCTGTGCCTTTGCATCTGGTCAGCACTTGTGTGACCTGTGACACGGAGCCTGTCCCTGTGTGTGCGTGGGTGTGGTGTCTGTGCCTCTGCAGGTGTGTGTCTGTGCTGGTGGGTGTCTGAGTGCTGTGCTCACATCTTTCTGCACAGGGGCCCTTCTTTCCACCTGGGGAAGGTTGCAGGACCCCCGTCCAGTACAAATGCTCAGCACTCGGGTCCTTTAGATAAGATGAGGCAGTGTCTGCTTGTCCCCAACCCACTCCCTCCTGTGGACTTCCAATGCTGTCTGGATTCCCCTTAAACCCCTGACACAGTGTCAGTGCTGTGTGAGGCTGTTACACTGTCTCCTTTCAGGAGTAACAAGAAAAACAAGTCTAGGTTTGGGGCAGACAGAGACATGCCCTCGATTGCATAGTAACAATGTAACATTTCCTCCTTGGGCAACAGCATGTAATTGTCTGAAAAGGTTTCCCTGTGTATTTTTGTTTTCTTTGGCTAAATATAAATCACACAGCTTGGGTTCCTAAAAAGCCCAGGAATTCCCTGGGCCTCCATCCTGGAGATCGGGCCTCTGATTCCAGGTGTCCTGCTGCCCCAGTCCCTCCAGGGGCTGCAGGGAGGGTCCTTTGCACCTCTTCCAGCTCCTGGAGCTCCAGGTGCCCCTGGGCTGGTACTCACGTCCCTCCCGTCTCTGCCTCCACCTCCACGTGGCTTCTCCTCCTTTCTGTGTCTCCTCTTCTGACACTTCCAAGGACACTGCTACTGGATGTGAGGCCACCCTGACCCAGGACGGCCTCCACTCCGACCCTCCACCCATCCCACCTGCAAACACCCTGTTTCCAGAAGGAGCCACTCCCGGGTTCCAGAGTTAGGACTTGGATTGTGTTTGGGCGGGGGTCACTATCCCCCCACTGCAAGCAGACTCCTTTTCCATTCAGTTTGGAGGCGGTGCCTCCCCTTTTCTGTCTCGGGGAGAACTGGTTCTTGAGTCCCTGATGGAGTGATTGCCCTTAATGTGTCCACCAGGGGACTTTTTCCGAGATACCCTCCCTGAGGCCGACCTGTACATTCTGGGCAAAGTTCTGCACAACTGGCCCGACGACAAGGTGCACCAGCTGCTGAGCCGCATCTCCCGCAGCTGCAAACCAGGTGAGACGGCCTCTTTGACCTCCTTTTCAGACACACAGGAAGACTGCTCCACTGTTTAGAAAAGTAACGTTTATGCACCGTAAGGGGCTGCCACACTCCCTGTGGTGCTCAGTTTACAGACTTCAGAGCTCGCTCTTGACTGGAGGATGTGGACACAAGTGCCTGCATGTTGGGACAGGTGCCCCTGAGCCTGGCTCCCCTGAGTGTCACTGTCCCGCCCTGCAGGGCCCTGAGGGAGCCTTTGGTTTCCTGCCCCTGGTGACCCCTCCCAGGGCTGCCAAGCCCAGTGAGTCCCTTCCTCTGCACCTAATCCTGTCTCCCTGTCACACCCATGCTCCACCTTCCTGCCCTCCCCCCTCCCCCTGGCCAGGCTGCTGCTGCTGCTGCTCCAAGCAGCTGGGGCCCAGGGTCCAGTCATCTGCTCTCTGGTGGGCTCACAGGGGCCCCTCCTATAATAAAAGTTTCCACCTGTGTCCTATGCAGAGCATGCCCTCAGAGGCCCTGGTGGGTACCCCCAGAGGACCAGGCACCCTCATTTCCCCCCGACCTTGTTACCTGTCCCTGCTCCCTTTCTACTCCCTGCTCACTCCCTCTGTCTCTCCCTTCGTGTCTCCCCGTGTCTCCCTGGGTCTCCGTGTCTCGTCTCTGTCTCCCTGTCTCTCTCTGTGTCCTTGTCTGTCTTTCTCTCTGTCTCCCCTCCACCTCCCTGTCTGATTCTCCAGCCCGGTGGGATGTGTCTGCCTCCTGTATCCCTGAGGGCTGGAGTCCCTCAGTCCCCTCTCCTGGGTGCCGGCCAGGACACCAGTGGCTGCTCTTGTGCACGCAGGTGGCGGCCTCCTGGTGGTGGAAATGCTGCTGGACGAGGACAAGTGCAGGCCCCTGCCTGCCGTGCTGATGTCGCTGAACATGACGGTGCTGTTCCAGGGCAGGGAGCGCAGCCTGAGCGAGTACCGCAGCCTGCTGCAGGCGCACGGCTTCACCGACGTGCGGGCCGTGCGCACTGGGACCATCCTGGATGCCGTGCTGGCCACCAGAGCCTGACGGCCACCCGCATGCCAGTCCCAGGGTCACTCCCCTGGGGGGACACTGGCCCAGGGTCCCCCACCGTGGCCCATAGGTAGAGAGTGTGCTGCAAGGGGCTGGAGTCACCCCCAGGCTAAGGAACGGGGCCAGCAGCGGCACCTGGAGCTTGCGGGTGGGGCTGCAGGGGACAAGGGCAGTGCCCAACTGGGGTCCCTCCCTTCACGATGCCGGGCCACCCGTCGTCTGTGGGGGGCCTGGCCTGGGGCCTCCAGCAGGTGGACCTCCATAACACGGGCCGTGTCCCACACCGCCCTCTCTCCACCAGCCCTTCCCACCACCTCCCACCGCTTCTCTCCTCTCCCCAGCCAGACTTCTAGTTTTACAAGATCACAGCTTAGGCAGGAGAAGGTTGACTGGGTGAAGGTGATTGTTCAGCCGACATGTCCCCAAAGTCTGCAGCTGGGACTCTGTGTCCTGGTAAAGTGTCCGTTTCCCTAAAGAGTAAGAAAGTGGGTGCACACTCGGCAGTGGGGGGCAGTCGTCAGGGTGACTGGTGGTATCGTTCAGATGGATCTGTTCAATCTCCTTCGCAGCTCAAATCAGCAGCCTGTTAGACACACAGATTGTAGTCCTAATTTTCCGAGTGAGAATGCGTTTTATATACAATCTAGAAGTTGGTTTTCAAGATGCACACACAGATGATTTCTACAGTGTAGGTAATCACACAGATAATCAGTCATGCGCTGATCCGGATGGACACCTTGGTCCTCCACTTTCCAGGGAGCCCTTAGCCAAGGACCCACCTACTCACCCACCCACAGGAGACCCCCAGGCTGCAGAGTGACAGGCAGGTAACGCCTGTGACAACTGGGGAAGGGTCCCTGGTCCCCTGAGACCACCATCTTTGCCTTTGCGGCTGTTGGAAATGCTCTTAGAAACAATGAACATGATGGGAAGGGAAGACTCACAGCCTGAGTGTGTGGTTATTGTGAACATGGTGGGAACACTGAGGGTTTCAGGGCGAGGGAGAAGGGTGGGGGGAGGGTGACCACCCGTGTCTCTCTCCTCAAAGGGACTTCCTTCTCAGGAATGGGCAGGCAGCCCCAGGTGGGGGTGGGTGGCAGAGCTGAGCCCCACCCTTGGGTGCAGTGCCCTCATTCCTTGGCTCGTTCAGGGATGTGTGAGTGCCCCTGGGCCCGGGACAGTCTGGGAGGGTCGTCCTGGGGTAACGTCTGCCCTATGGGGGTGGGGGGTGGGGAACAGCTGGGGACATCGGGCTGTCACATTACCACCTGAGAGCACACGGCCTCACCCCTCGCCTACACTGTCTGGGACCTCGTGGATCCCCTGGGTCCCCGTGGGTCCCCACCGCAAGCAGCCTGCTGGCCCCCAGCACCCAGGTTGCTTACACGCTGAGCCAGGCTCACTGTACCCAGACCTCATCACCCTGAGGGACATGCAGAGCCTTCCCAGGACTGGACCCCAGGCCTTGGGGAGCCCAGGGTGGGTGAGCGGCCCCTGCCTCTTCCCTAACCTCAGGTGCCCATGCCCATCCCCCTTTCTCAGTGACCCACGCTGCGGGGCGGCTGGGCAGACCTGAAGGTCCTCCTGAACCACCCCAGTGGGGGGCGGTCCTGCTCAGCAATCCCGAGAACCCAGGGATCTGGGCCATGCTAGTACAATGGTAAGGCCGCGAACTGACACCCAGAGCGCCCTGGGAACATGGGGGTCTTCGACACAGTGCGCGGACCGACACGGGGTGTCAGTGGGGACCAACGGGCCACAGGAATACAGGGTGTGGGCGTCACAGGCTGCAGAAGAAGCCTGGAAGCTGAGCTCAGCTCGGGGCGGGGCTCTGGCTGATGGGCGGGGCCTCGCGGGGGCGGGCGGTGCCAGGCGCAGTGGGCGTGGCATCCATCCCGGAAATCCCAGCTGAGTGGTGAGAACCAGCCCTGGGGGCGTGGTCGGCCCTGGAGCGGGGCTGTGTGGGCGGGGTCGCCTGTGCTTGGGGCTTCAATAACCTGGGCCAGCTCTCCAGGTCCACAGACCCAGTGTCAGAACGAGGGGTGAGGCAGACCCTCCGCTTGGGGCCCAGGGAGTGTGGCGCGGACTCGAGAGTCATGGGCTTGTTCCGGGTGATCCCGAAGCTGCTGCATAACCGTGTGGTGATGGCCGGTGCTGCCCCGCGCCACCAGCACATCCTCAGGAATGCGGTGAATAGCCGGGACAGAACCGGGTCGGGTTCGGGGGTGCGAGGGGCAGGCTAGTGATCCGGGAGCCTAGTGACCCTGGGGCCTGGGGCCCATGGACTGGTGCAGCATGGGTCACCCGGTGCCCCTGGCCCGGTGATTGGGGATGGTGGGCCCCTGTGGGTGTGGAACCCTGGCCTTGGGAATGTCCTGGGAGCTGTTCCACCCCCAGGGGTTCGATCTGTGTACCCAGCCCCTTTGTCAATACTGTCCCCAGGCGTTTGTGTGACCGGGGTGCACACCTCACTTTCCTGTAGGTCCGGAGATCCGGCTCTGCACGAAGTGGCTATTGGGGAAAGTTCACTGTCGGCCACAGGGGCTGAGAGGCCACACTGGGTGTACCCCCAACCTGTTCTGATGGGCACCCCTGCAATCCTCACCCCCTCACAGCTCCTCTCCTCCCATTGCAGGGGCCCAGGTTCACGGTGGTTCCTTCCAGGTTTCAAGAGAATCTCAGTAAAGCCTCCTCCCCCTCCCCCTTCCCATGGTCCATGGAAACAGCCAAGCAGAAGGCCCTGGAGGGGGTCAGGAGCATGCACCAGGCAAGGACTCTGCTTCTGCCCCCTGGGGATCTGGGGCCACAGGGGAGGTGGTGGAAGGTGGGGCTCAGGTTTGAAGGAGACCTGTTGCATAAATGCTGTCACAGTGGGCAGTCATGCAGCTTATTCATGGCTGAGGGTAGCAGTGTAGTATACTCTTCCTCTCATGTAGCATGGTCTCGTCTGTTGCATTTTACTATATCATAGACTATCATAATCAGTGTGAAGGGATCATTTTCAATAAAGATTTAATGTAGCTTACCTGTTACATTGTTACCTAATAACACTTCCTTATTATTGCAGCTAATAGTATCATCTCTATAATATGGATTGTGAATTACTTTGTTGCTATGTCATAGCGCATTGTCATTCTTACATCAGTATCATTTTTTTAAAGCACGTATGACCCGTGTTACCGTACAATACCTTCCTGTAATGAACCCAATGGTGCCTTCCACTGTGTAGCATTAGTGCAGCTTATCACTAGATGGTATAGTAATATCCTACGGCAGTTGGGATACTACCTGCATTGTAGGTAATACTGTGAGTATTGGTGTAAATGAGTGAGAGCTGAGAGACTGATATTCGGCAGGGGGAGGTTAGTATGCAAGTGCACCCCAAGACCCTGTGGGGTACACATGTTGGGGGACTGTATGGGGCCCACACGCTTGTCCCCACCCAGCATGAGGGGGCACACGGGCCTTGCTCTCCCAAGTGAGCCCAGACACCAGCAGTGAGGCCGTCTGTGTGCACCACACCACAGAAATGTGTCCCTTCTGAAGCTGAGCTCGGGTTTCTGCAGAAACACGGGAAGGCTGTGGAGGACGCAGATGGTAACCCCACGGTGCAGAGCCTCCCCCCGACTGTCATATTGGAACTGATAGACGGCTTCAAGGTGTCCAAGGTGACCTGCGGAGGGCCCTGGGGTGGCCGGGAGGGAGGGGACAACCCGGGTCCGAAACCCCGGGAGCTCATCTTGTTTGTGTCCTGGAGACCAGGCGTCTGAGGTCCACGTCTCCCTGGGCCACGCTCCCCCCTCAGGTCCCAGGGGGGGTCTCACTGAGCTGCTATTCCCGCCCAGGCCCTGTTCACGGCTTGCAAGATGAAGGTGTTTGATGTGCTGAGAGACGAAGGCCCCCTGAGTGCGGTGGACGTTGCCAGGAAAATCGATGCCTCTGAGGGTGGAACTGGTCAGCTGCTGGACGTCTGTGCAGCCCTGGGCCTGCTGGAGAAGACAGAGGGAGGTGAGGGGACTCGGAGGTGTTCCGTGGAGAATCTCAGAAGGTAGAAGCAGGTCACTGAGTGGACGTGGTCTCTGAGCCCATCAGGGATGACCTAATGGGCTGCCCCTCTGCCCCAGATGCCTGGCTGTTTCCCAGAGGGTGGGAGAGAGGTCGGATGGAAGAAAGGAAAAGGGGTGTGTGTGTGTGTGTGTGTGTGTGCATGTATAGTGACCCCTCACGTCTCTGCTGTCAGAGGGGCTGTGTCAGTGAGGGACCTCCAGAGACATGGAAGAAACAGGACTTTTCTGTGTGCACAACACAGACAGGGGTTGAGTCAGAGAGAGAGACGAGATAGAGGGTAGAGAGATGAGAGGCACATAGATAAACGGATGGATGGACAGATATAGTGGATGGAAGGGTGGGTGGGGAGAAAGCAGACAGATGGATCCAGGGGAGGTGGAAGGAAGGACAGAAGGAACAAGACAGATGTGTAGTGGAAGGTGCAGATGATAGTGGGTGGATGGGGCGATGGGTAGGTGGAGAGTCAGGAGCACTGGGTGAACATACGGATATAGAACAGACCAGAGAAGAGATGGACGGATGGATGGATGGTCGAATGGATGGTTGGTTGGATGGATGGACGGGTAGAGCCATGGTTGGCTGGAAAGACGGAAGGGTGGACGGGGGATGGGTGGGACCACATATGGAAGGATGTGCAGGTGGATGGATGGGGGGCTGTGAGCATGGATAGGTAGCTGGTGAGACTGATGGGTGCATGGAAGAATGGACACATAGGCCAGTGAATGGGTGGGTGGATTCTTGAAGGTGGAGATGGAGGAGTGGATGGAGGGATGGAGGGATGGATGGACAGACAGCAGATGGGTGGAAGGAGTGCATCCGGGCTCACTGACCATCCCAGGGCCCTTGGGGGAAACCCCTGAGGGGGGAACTCACCCCTCCTTCAGCACCTGAGCCCCCTGAGTCCCGCTCCCTGGGGAGCTGCCTGCCAGCATGGGGTGAGCAGCAGTCTGGGGGATGGTGTTCGTGCTCCTTCTCCGTGGGCCTCAGCGGTGGTCTGGTGGTGGGACCAGCTGCACCCTCACTGTGAGGACCTCACCTGTCACTGCAGGTTACAGCAACACGCCCCTGGCCACCCTGTACCTGCTGTCGGACGGCGAGTGCTCCCTCCACAGCTACGTCATGATCCACGAGGAAGTCATATGGCCCTTCTTCTCCTACCTGGACTTTGCTGTCCAGGAGGGCACCGTCCAGGGCCAGAGGGCTCTGGGCACAGCGGGGGAGGACCACTATCAGGTACCATCCAGTGCCAGAGGGCTCTGGGCACAGCGGGGGAGGACCAGTATCAGGTGACCAGCCAGAGATGTTCCTTCCGTGCATGGGTCGGGGAAAGGATTTGAGGGGACGGGATCCGTGTCCTTCCTGGGGCTGCACGAAACTTGGAACCCACCGAGCGTTTGCCTTCTGGATGCCACCAGTCCTGATGGAGTCCACTGTGGGGGGGTGGGCGGTGGAGGGGCGGAGAAGGGAGAGGGCAGACACACAGGGAGGCAGAGAGAGGGACACAGATTCACAAGACAGACAGACAGACACAGACAGATGCACAGAGAGGCCCAGTCCCAGGACATGTCTGCAGGGGTTGCCGCCCGGGTGCAGGACACCCGGCGCCTGCGTGCCTGCTCACACCCTGCTCTGCCTCAGGAGTCGTTCTACCAGAATCGAGAAAAGAAGTTGCAGTTCATGCGGGCCATGCACGGCCACACCAAGGTGGCTGCCCGCCAGGTGTCCACAGCCTTTGACCTGTCTGGATTCACCTCTGCGTGCGATCTGGGAGGTGTGTACATCCCAAGGGAGTCTGTGTCACCAGCTGCATGCGTGTCTTTTCCTGTGCCATATTGCATGTGACTGACAGGATCATGAGCCTGCAAAACAGGGTTATCTCTTGAAAAACACCCCAAGGACTCCTGAGCTGCCAGCTTATATTTCCCTATTCTCTCTGCACACCCATCCTCCCAGTGGCCCAGAGTGGCTGCTGAATCACCAGCCATCACATCTGCTTTGACAAACCAGAAAGGATTAGGGATGGTACCAGACCTCCACAACTTTGCCCAGAGGATTCTCTTGTGACGCTATGTACCCGCCCCACTCCCTTGCTCACCCTCATGGTCTTAACCTTGGGAGGCCCCAATGCCCACAGGAGACACCAGCCATCTGCATCATGCCTGGCTGTATTTCACAGCAGTGGCTTCAATGCAGGTTCCAGAACATTGCTTGATTTTGCCTCAGTTGCCCTTTGGAAACTCACTCAGGCATCCCTAAGTGCTGGGAAGGGCAGGTAGGGGTACAGTGTGTGATTTCACCTGCAGGATCCACAGGCGCCCTTGCCTACGAACTGGCCCGCAAGTGCCCAGGGTCTGAAGGTGACTGTATTTGACCTGCCAGAGGTCATCGAGGATGCCGTGTGCTTTCAGCCCCATGGACCCCAGACAGGGCAGGTCAGCTTCGTGCCAGGTACGCCTCCTGTGCCTTTGCATCTGGTCAGCACTTGTGTGACCTGTGACACGGAGCCTGTCCCTGTGTGTGCGTGGGTGTGGTGTCTGTGCCTCTGCAGGTGTGTGTCTGTGCTGGTGGGTGTCTGAGTGCTGTGCTCACATCTTTCTGCACAGGGGCCCTTCTTCCACCTGGGGAAGGTTGCAGGACCCCCGTCCAGTACAAATGCTCAGCACTCGGGTCCTTTAGATAAGATGAGGCAGTGTCTGCTTGTCCCCAACCCACTCCCTCCTGTGGACTTCCAATGCTGTCTGGATTCCCCTGTAAACCCCTGACACAGTGTCAGTGCTGTGTGAGGCTGTTACACTGTCTCCTTTCAGGAGTAACAAGAAAAACAAGTCTAGGTTTGGGGGCAGACAGAGACATGCCCCTCGATTGCATAGTAACAATGTAACATTTCCTCCTTGGGCAACAGCATGTAATTGTCTGAAAAGGTTTCCCTGTGTATTTTTGTTTTCTTTGGCTAAATATAAATCACACAGCTTGGGTTCCTAAAAAGCCCAGGAATTCCCTGGGCCTCCATCCTGGAGATCGGCCCTCTGATTCCAGGTGTCCTGCTGCCCCAGTCCCTCCAGGGGCTGCAGGGAGGGTCCTTTGCACCTCTTCCAGCTCCTGGAGCTCCAGGTGCCCCTGGGCTGGTACTCACGTCCCTCCCGTCTCTGCCTCCACCTCCACGTGGCTTCTCCTCCTTTCTGTGTCTCCTCTTCTGACACTTCCAAGGACACTGCTACTGGATGTGAGGCCACCCTGACCCAGGACGGCCTCCACTCCGACCCTCCACCCATCCCACCTGCAAACACCCTGTTTCCAGAAGGAGCCACTCCCGGGTTCCAGAGTTAGGACTTGGATTGTGTTTGGGCGGGGGTCACTATCCCCCCACTGCAAGCAGACTCCTTTTCCGTTCAGTTCTGAGGCGGTGCCTCCCCTTTTCTGTCTCGGGGAGAACTGGTTCTTGAGTCCCTGATGGAGTGATTGCCCTTAATGTGTCCACCAGGGGACTTTTTCCGAGACACCCTCCCTGAGGCCGACCTGTACATTCTGGGCAAAGTTCTGCACAACTGGCCCGACGACAAGGTGCACCAGCTGCTGAGCCGCATCTCCCGCAGCTGCAAACCAGGTGAGACGGCCTCTTTGACCTCCTTTTCAGACACACAGGAAGACTGCTCCACTGTTTAGAAAAGTAACGTTTATGCACCGTAAGGGGCCTGCCACACTCCCTGTGGTGCTCAGTTTACAGACTTCAGAGCTCGCTCTTGACTGGAGGATGTGGACACAAGTGCCTGCATGTTGGGACAGGTGCCCCTGAGCCTGGCTCCCCTGAGTGTCACTGTCCCGCCCTGCAGGGCCCTGAGGGAGCCTTTGGTTTCCTGCCCCTGGTGACCCCTCCCAGGGCTGCCAAGCCCAGTGAGTCCCTCCCTCCTCAGCTCACCCTGTCTCCCTGTCACACCCATACTCCGCCTTCCTGCCCTCCCCGCTCACCCTGGCCAGGCTGCTGCTGCTGCTGCTCCAAGCAGCTGGGGCCCAGGGTCCAGTCATCTGTTCTCCGGTGGTCTCACAGGGGCCCCTCCTATAATAAAAGTTTCCTCCTGTGTCCTATGCAGAGCATGCCCTCAGGGGACCCTGGTGGGTACCCCCAGAGGACCAGGCACCCTCATTTCCCCTCGCCCTTGTTACCTGTCCCTGCTCCCTTTCTTCTCCCTGCTCACTCCCTCTGTCTCTCCCTTCGTGTCTCCCCGTGTCTCCCTGGGTCTCTGGGTCTCGTCTCTGTCTCCCTGTCTCTCTCTGTGTCCTTGTCTGTCTTTCTCTCTGTCTCCCCTCCACCTCCCTGTCTGATTCTCCAGCCCGGAGGGATGTGTCTGCAGCCTGTACCCCTGAGGGCTGGAGTCCCTCAGCCCCCTCTCCTGGGTGCGGGGCAGGACATCAGTGGCTGCTCTTGTGCACGCAGGTGGCGGCCTCCTGGTGGTGGAAATGCTGCTGGACGAGGACAAGTGCAGGCCCCTGCCCGCCGTGCTGATGTCGCTGAACATGACGGTGCTGTTCCAGGGCAGGGAGCGCAGCCTGAGCGAGTACCGCAGCCTGCTGCAGGCGCACGGCTTCACCGACGTGCGGGCCGTGCGCACTGGGACCATCCTGGATGCCGTGCTGGCCACCAGAGCCTGACGGCCACCCGCATGCCAGTCCCAGGGTCACTCCCCTGGGGGGACACTGGCTCACAGTCCCCCACCGTGGCCCATAGGTAGAGAGTGTGCTGCAAGGGGCTGGAGTCACCCCCAGGCTAAGGAACGGGGCCAGCAGCGGCACCTGGAGCTTGCGGGTGGGGCTGCAGGGGACAAGGGCAGTGCCAACTGGGGTCCCTCCCTTCACGATGCCGGGCCACCCGTCGTCTGTGGGGGCCTGGCCTGGGGCCTCCAGCAGGTGGACCTCCATAACACGGGCCGTGCCCACACCGCCCTCTCTCCACCAGCCCTTCCCACCACCTCCCACCGCTTCTCTCCTCTCCCCAGCCAGACTTCTAGTTTTACAAGATCACAGCTTAGGCAGGAGAAGGTTGACTGGGTGAAGGTGATTGTTCAGCCGACATGTCCCCAAAGTCTGCAGCTGGGACTCTGTGTCCTGGTAAAGTGTCCGTTTCCCTAAAGAGTAAGAAAGTGGGTGCACACTCGGCAGTGGGGGGCAGTCGTCAGGGTGACTGGTGGTATCGTTCAGATGGATCTGTTCAATCTCCTTCGCAGCTCAAATCAGCAGATGATAGTCACACAGCTTGTAGTCATAATTTTCCGAGTGAGAATGGGTTTCATAGACAATCTAGAAGTTGGTTTTCAAGATGCACACACAGATGATTTCTACAGTGTAGGTAATCACACAGATAATCAGTCATGCGCTGATCCGGATGGACACCTTGGTCCTCCACTTTCCAGGGAGCCCTTAGCCAAGGACCCACCTACTCACCCACCCACAGGAGACCCCAGGCTGCAGAGTGACAGGCAGGTAACGCCTGTGACAACTGGGGAAGGGTCCCTGGTCCCCTGAGACCACCATCTTTGCCTTTGCGGCTGTTGGAAATGCTCTTAGAAACAATGAACATGATGGGAAGGGAAGACTCACAGCCTGAGTGTGTGGTTATTGTGAACATGGTGGGAACACTGAGGGTTTCAGGGCGAGGGAGAAGGGCGGGGGGGAGGGTGACCACCCGTGTCTCTCTCCTCAAAGGGACTTCCTTCTCAGGAATGGGCAGGCAGCCCCAGGTGGGGGTGGGTGGCAGAGCTGAGCCCCACCCTTGGGTGCAGTGCCCTCATTCCTTGGCTCGTTCAGGGATGTGTGAGTGCCCCTGGGCCCGGGACAGTCTGGGAGGGTCGTCCTGGGGTAACGTCTGCCCTATGGGGGGTGGGGGGTGGGGAACAGCTGGGGACATCGGGCTGTCACATTACCACCTGAGAGCACACGGCCTCACCCCTCGCCTACACTGTCTGGGACCTCGTGGGTCCCCTGGGTCCCCGTGGGTCCCCACCGCAAGCAGCCTGCTGGCCCCCCAGCACCCAGGTTGCTTACACGCTGAGCCAGGCTCACTGCACCCAGGCCTCATCACCCTGAGGGCCATGCAGAGCCTTCCCAGGACTGGACCCCAGGCCTTGGTGAGCCCAGGGTGGGTGAGCGGCCCCTGCCTCTTCCCTAACCTCAGGCGCCCCTGCCCATCCCCCTTTCTCAGTGACCCACCCCGCGGGGCCGCTGGGCAGACCTGAAGGTCCTCCTGAACCACCCCAGTGGGGGGCGGTCCTGCTCAGCAATCCGGAGAACCCAGGGATCTGGGCCATGCTAGTACAATGGTAAGGCCGCGAACTGACACCCAGAGCGCCCTGGGAACATGGGGGTCTTCAACACAGTGCGCGGACCGACACGGGGTGTCAGTGGGGACCAACGGGCCACAGGAATACAGGGTGTGGGCGTCACAGGCTGCAGAAGAAGCCTGGAAGCTGAGCTCAGCTCGGGGCGGGGCTCTGGCTGATGGGCGGGGCCTCGCGGGGGCGGGCGGTGCCAGGCGCAGTGGGCGTGGCATCCATCCCGGAAATCCCAGCTGAGTGGTGAGAACCAGCCCTGGGGGCGTGGTCGGCCCTGGAGCGGGGCTGTGTGGGCGGGGTCGCCTGTGCTTGGGGGCTTCAATAACCTGGGCCAGCTCTCCAGGTCCACAGACCCAGTGTCAGAACGAGGGGTGAGGCAGACCCTCCGCTTGGGGCCCAGGGAGTGTGGCGCGGACTCGAGAGTCATGGGCTTGTTCCGGGTGATCCCGAAGCTGCTGCATAACCGTGTGGTGATGGCCGGTGCTGCCCCGCGCCACCAGCACATCCTCAGGAATGCGGTGAATAGCCGGGACAGAACCGGGTCGGGTTCGGGGGTGCGAGGGGCAGGCTAGTGATCCGGGAGCCTAGTGACCCTGGGGCCTGGGGGCCCTATGGACTGGTGCAGCATGGGTCACCCGGTGCCCCTGGCCCGGTGATTGGGGATGGTGGGCCCCTGTGGGTGTGGAACCCTGGCCTTGGGAATGTCCTGGGAGCTGTTCCACCCCCAGGGGTTCGATCTGTGTACCCAGCCCCTTTGTCAATACTGTCCCCAGGCGTTTGTGTGACCGGGGTGCACACCTCACTTTCCTGTAGGTCCGGAGATCCGGCTCTGCACGAAGTGGCTATTGGGGAAAGTTCACTGTCGGCCACAGGGGCTGAGAGGCCACACTGGGTGTACCCCAACCTGTTCTGATGGGCACCCCTGCAATCCTCACCCCCTCACAGCTCCTCTCCTCCCATTGCAGGGGCCCAGGTTCACGGTGGTTCCTTCCAGGTTTCAAGAGAATCTCAGTAAAGCCTCCTCCCCCACCCCCTTCCCATGGTCCATGGAAACAGCCAAGCAGAAGGCCCTGGAGGGGGTCAGGAGCATGCACCAGGCAAGGACTCTGCTTCTGCCACGTGGGGATCTGGGGCTACAGGGGAGGTGGTGGAAGGTGGGGCTCAGGTTTGAAGGAGACCTGTTGCATAAATGCTGTCACAGTGGGCAGTCACGCAGCTTATTCATGGCTGAGGGTAGCAGTGTAGTATACTCTTCCCCTCATGTAGCATGGTCTCGTCTGTTGCATTTTACTATATCATAGACTATCATAATCAGTGTGAAGGGATCATTTTCAATAAAGATTTAATGTAGCTTACCTGTTACATTGTTACCTAATAACACTTCCTTATTATTGCAGCTAATAGTATCATCTCTATAATATGGATTGTGAATGACTTTGTTGCTATGTCATAGCGCATTGTCATTCTTACATCAGTATCATTTTTTTAAAGCACGTATGACCCGTGTTACCGTACAATACCTTCCTGTAATGAACCCAATGGTGCCTTCCACTGTGTAGCATTAGTGCAGCTTATCACTAGATGGTATAGTAATATGCTACGGCAGTTGGGATACTACCTGCATTGTAGGTAATACTGTGAGTATTGGTGTAAATGAGTGAGAGCTGAGAGACTGATATTCGGCAGGGGGAGGTTAGTATGCAAGTGCACCCCAAGGACCCTGTGGGGTACACATGTTGGGGGACTGTATGGGGCCCACACGCTTGTCCCCACCCAGCATGAGGGGGCACACGGGCCTTGCTCTCCCAAGTGAGCCCAGACACCAGCAGTGAGGCCGTCTGCATGCACCACACCACAGAAATGTGTCCCTTCTGAAGCTGAGCTCGGGTTTCTGCAGAAACACGGGAAGGCCGTGGAGGACGCAGATGGTAACCCCACGGTGCAGAGCCTCCCCCCGACTGTCATATTGGAACTGATAGACGGCTTCAAGGTGTCCAAGGTGACCTGCGGAGGGCCCTGGGGTGGCCGGGAGGGAGGGGACAACCCGGGTCCGAAACCCCGGGAGCTCATCTTGTTTGTGTCCTGGAGACCAGGCGTCTGAGGTCCACGGCTCCCTGGGCCACGCTCCCTCCGCAGGCCCCAGGGGGGGTCTCACTGAGCTGCTGTTCCCGCCCAGGCCCTGTTCACGGCTTGCAAGATGAAGGTGTTTGATGTGCTGAGAGACGAAGGCCCCCCTGAGTGCGGCGGACGTTGCCAGGAAAATCGATGCCTCTGAGGGTGGAACTGGTCAGCTGCTGGACGTCTGTGCAGCCCTGGGCCTGCTGGACAAGACAGAGGGAGGTGAGGGGACTCGGAGGTGTTTCGTGGAGAATCTCAGAAGGTAGAAGCAGGTCACTGAGTGGACGTGGTCTCTGAGCCCATCAGGGATGACCTAACGGGCTGTCCCTCTGCCCCAGATACCTGGCTGTTTCCCAGAGGGTGGGAGAGAGGTCGGATGGAAGAAAGGAAAAGGGGTGTGTGTGTGTGTGTGTGTGTGCATGTATAGTGACCCCTCATGTCTCTGCTGTCAGAGGGGCTGTGTCAGTGAGGGACCTCCAGAGACATGGAAGAAACAGGACTTTTCTGTGTGCACAACACAGACAGGGGTTGAGTCAGAGAGAGAGACGAGATAGAGGGTAGAGAGATGAGAGGCACATAGATAAACGGATGGATGGACAGATATAGTGGATGGAAGGGTGGGTGGGGAGAAAGCAGACAGATGGATCCAGGGGAGGTGGAAGGAAGGACAGAAGGAACAAGACAGATGTGTAGTGGAAGGTGCAGATGATAGTGGGTGGATGGGGCGATGGGTAGGTGGAGAGTCAGGAGCACTGGGTGAACATACGGATATAGAACAGACCAGAGAAGAGATGGACGGATGGATGGATGGTCGAATGGATGGTTGGTTGGATGGATGGACGGGTAGAGCCATGGTTGGCTGGAAAGACGGAAGGGTGGACGGGGGATGGGTGGGACCACAGATGGAAGGATGTGCAGGTGGATGGATGGGGGGCTGTGAGCATGGATAGGTAGCTGGTGAGACTGATGGGTGCATGGAAGAATGGACACATAGGCCAGTGAATGGGTGGGTGGATTCTTGAAGGTGGAGATGGAGGAGTGGATGGAGGGATGGAGGGATGGATGGACAGACAGCAGATGGGTGGAAGGAGTGCATCCGGGCTCACTGACCATCCCAGGGCCCTTGGGGGAAACCCCTGAGGGGGAACTCACCCCTCCTTCAGCACCTGAGCCCCCTGAGTCCCGCTCCCTGGGGAGCTGCCTGCCAGCATGGGGTGAGCAGCAGTCTGGGGGATGGTGTTCGTGCTCCTTCTCCATGGGCCTCAGCGGTGGTCTGGTGGTGGGACCAGCTGCACCCTCACTGTGAGGACCTCACCTGTCACTTCAGGTTACAGCAACACGCCCCTGGCCACCCTGTACCTGCTGTCGGACGGCGAGTGCTCCCTCCACAGCTACGTCATGATCCACGAGGAAGTCATATGGCCCTTCTTCTCCTACCTGGACTTTGCTGTCCAGGAGGGCACCGTCCAGGGCCAGAGGGCTCTGGGCACAGCGGGGAGGACCACTATCAGGTACCATCCAGTGCCAGAGGGCTCTGGGCACAGCGGGGAGGACCAGTATCAGGTGACCAGCCAGAGATGTTCCTTCCGTGCATGGGTCGGGGAAAGGATTTGAGGGGACGGGATCCGTGTCCTTCCTGGGGCTGCACGAAACTTGGAACCCACCGAGCGTTTGCCTTCTGGATGCCACCAGTCCTGATGGAGTCCACTGTGGGGGGGTGGGCGGAGGAGGGGCGGAGAAGGGAGAGGGCAGACACACAGGGAGGCAGAGAGAGGGACACAGATTCACAAGACAGACAGACAGACACAGACAGATGCACAGAGAGGCCCAGTCCCAGGACATGTCTGCAGGGGGTTGCCGCCCGGGTGCAGGACACCCGGCGCCTGCGTGCCTGCTCACACCCTGCTCTGCCTCAGGAGTCGTTCTACCAGAATCGAGAAAAGAAGTTGCAGTTCATGCGGGCCATGCACGGCCACACCAAGGTGGCTGCCCGCCAGGTGTCCACAGCCTTTGACCTGTCTGGATTCACCTCTGCGTGCGATCTGGGAGGTGTGTACATCCCAAGGGAGTCTGTGTCACCAGCTGCATGCGTGTCTTTTCCTGTGCCATATTGCATGTGACTGACAGGATCATGAGCCTGCAAAACAGGGTTATCTCTTGAAAAACACCCCAAGGACTCCTGAGCTGCCAGCTTATATTTCCCTATTCTCTCTGCACACCCATCCTCCCAGTGGCCCAGAGTGGCTGCTGAATCACCAGCCATCACATCTGCTTTGACAAACCAGAAAGGATTAGGGATGGTACCAGACCTCCACAACTTTGCCCTGAGGATTCTCTTGTGACGCTGTGGACCCGCCCCACTCCCTTGCTCACCTGCATGGTCTTGACCTTGGGAGGCCCCAATGCCCACAGGAGACACCAGCCATCTGCATCATGCCTGGCTGTATTTCACAGCAGTGGCTTCAATGCAGGTTCCAGAACATTGCTTGATTTTGCCTCAGTTGCCCTTTGGAAACTCACTCAGGCATCCCTAAGTGCCTGGGAAGGGCAGGTAGGGGTACAGTGTGTGATTTCACCTGCAGGATCCACAGGCGCCCTTGCCTACGAACTGGCCCGGCAGTGCCCGGGTCTGAAGGTGACCGTGTTTGACCTGCCGGAGGTCATCGAGGACGCCGTGTGCTTTCAGCCCCATGGACCCCAGACAGGGCAGGTCAGCTTCGTGCCAGGTACGCCTCCTGTGCCTTTGCCTCTGGTCAGCACTTGTGTGACCTGTGACACGGAGCCCGTCCCTGTGTGTGCGTGGGTGTGGTGTCTGTGCCTCTGCAGGTGTGTGTCTGTGCTGGTGGGTGTCTGAGTGCTGTGCTCACATCTTTCTGCACAGGGGCCCTTCTTCCACCTGGGGAAGGTTGCAGGACCCCCCGTCCAGTACAAATGCTCAGCTCTCGGGTCCTTTAGATAAGATGAGGCAGTGTCTGCTTGTCCCCAACCCACTCCCTCCTGTGGACTTCCAATGCTGTCTGGATTCCCTGTAAACCCCTGACACAGTGTCAGTGCTGTGTGAGGCTGTTACACTGTCTCCTTTCAGGAGTAACAAGAAAAACAAGTCTAGGTTTGGGGCAGACAGAGACATGCCCTCGATTGCATAGTAACAGTGTAACGTGTCCTCCTTGGGCAACAGCATGTAATTGTCTGAAAAGGTTTCCCTGTGTATTTTTGTTTTCTTTGGCTAAATATAAATCACACAGCTTGGGTTCCTAAAAAGCCCAGGAATTCCCTGGGCCTCCATCCTGGAGATCGGCCCTCTGATTCCAGGTGTCCTGCTGCCCCAGTCCCTCCAGGGGCTGCAGGGAGGGTCCTTTGCACCTCTTCCAGCTCCTGGAGCTCCAGGTGCCCCCTGGGCTGGTACTCACGTCCCTCCCGTCTCTGCCTCCACCTCCACGTGGCTTCTCCTCCTTTCTGTGTCTCCTCTTCTGACACTTCCAAGGACACTGCTACTGGATGTGAGGCCACCCCTGACCCAGGGACGGCCTCCTCTCCGACCCTCCACCCATCCCACCTGCAAACACCCTGTTTCCAGAAGGAGCCACTCCCGGGTTCCAGAGTTAGGACTTGGATTGTGTTTGGGCGGGGGTCACTATCCCCCCACTGCAAGCAGACTCCTTTTCCGTTCAGTTCTGAGGCGGTGCCTCCCCTTTTCTGTCTCGGGGAGAACTGGTTCTCATATTCCTGACGGAATGATTGCCCTTTTTGTGTCCACCAGGGGACTTTTTCCGAGACACCCTCCCGGAGGCCGACCTGTACATTCTGGGCAAAGTTCTGCACAACTGGCCCGACGACAAGGCGCACCAGCTGCTGAGCCGCATCTCCCGCAGCTGCAAACCAGGTGAGACGGCCTCTTTGACCTCCTCTTCAGACACACAGGAAGACTGCTCCACTGTTTAGAAAAGTAACGTTTATGCACCGTAAGGGGCTGCCACACTCCCTGTGGTGCTCAGTTTACAGACTTCAGAGCTCGCTCTTGACTGGAGGATGTGGACACAAGTGCCTGCATGTTGGGACAGGTTCCCCCTGAGCCTGGCTCCCCTGAGTGTCACTGTCCCGCCCTGCAGGGTCCTGAGGGAGCCTTTGGTTTCCTGCCCCTGGTGACCCCTCCCAGGGCTGCCAAGCCCAGTGAGTCCCTTCCCTCTGCAGCTAATCCCTGTCTCCCTGTCACACCCATGCTCCACCTTCCTGCCCTCCCCCTCCCCCTGGCCAAGCTGCTGCTGCTGCTGCTCCAAGCAGCTGGGGCCCAGGGTCCAGTCACCTGCTCCCAGGTGGGCTCACAGGGGGCCCCTCCTATAATAAAAGTTTCCACCTGTGTCCTATGCAGAGCATGCCCTCAGAGGCCCTGGTGGGTACCCCCAGAGGACCAGGCACCCTCATTCCCCCCTGACCTGTTACCTGTCCCTGCTCCCTTTCTTCTCCCTGCTCACTCCCTCTGTCTCTCCCTTCGTGTCTCCCCGTGTCTCCTTGGGTCTCTGGGTCTCGTCTCTGTCTCCCTCTCTCTCTGTGTGTCCCTGTCTGTCTTTCTCTCTGTCTCCCCTCCACCTTCCCTGTCTGATTCTCCAGCCCGGTGGGATGTGTCTGCAGCCTGTACCCCTGAGGGCTGGAGTCCCTCAGCCCCCCTCTCCTGGGTGCGGGGCCAGGACACCAGTGGCTGCTCTTGTGCACGCAGGTGGCGGCCTCCTGGTGGTGGAAATGCTGCTGGACGAGGACAAGTGCAGGCCCCCTGCCCGCCGTGCTGATGTCGCTGAACATGACGGTGCTGTTCCAGGGCAGGGAGCGCAGCCTGAGCGAGTACCGCAGCCTGCTGCAGGCGCACGGCTTCACCGACGTGCGGGCCGTGCGCACTGGGACCATCCTGGATGCCGTGCTGGCCACCAGAGCCTGACGGCCACCCGCATGCCAGTCCCAGGGTCACTCCCCTGGGGGGACACTGGCTCACAGTCCCCCACCGTGGCCCATAGGTAGAAAGTGTGCTGCAAGGGGCTGGAGTCACCCCCACAGGCTAAGGAACGGGGCCAGCAGCGGCACCTGGAGCTTGTGGGTGGGGCTGCAGGGGACAAGGGCAGTGCCCAACTGGGGTCCCTCCCTTCACGATGCCGGGCCACCCGTCGTCTGTGGGGGGCCTGGCCGTGGGCCTCCAGCAGGTGGACCTCCATAACACGGGCCGTGCCCACACCGCCCTCTCTCCACCAGCCCTTCCCACCACCTCCCACCGCTTCTCTCCTCTCCCCAGCCAGACTTCTAGTTTTACAAGATCACAGCTTAGGCAGGAGAAGGTTGACTGGGTGAAGGTGATTGTTCAGCCGACATGTCCCCAAAGTCTGCAGCTGGGACTCTGTGTCCTGGTAAAGTGTCCGTTTCCCTAAAGAGTAAGAAAGTGGGTGCACACTCGGCAGTGGGGGGGGCAGTCGTCAGGGTGACTGGTGGTATCGTTCAGATGGATCTGTTCAATCTCCTTTCGCAGCTCAAATCAGCAGCATGATAGTCACACAGCTTGTAGTCATAATTTTCCCGAGTGAGAATGGGTTTCATAGACAATGTGGAAGTTGGTTTTCAAGACGCACACACACATGATTGATACAGTGTAGGTAATCACACAGATAATCACTCATGCCCTGGCCCGGATGGACACCTTGGTCCTCCACTCTCCAGGGAGCCCTTAGCCGAGGACCCACCGACCCTGCAGGAGAAACCCCAGGTTTGCAGAGTGACAGGCAGGTAACACCTGTGAGAACTAGGGGAAGGGTCCCTGGTCCCCTGAGACCACTTTCTGTGCCTCTGTGGCTGTTGGAAATGCTCTTAGAAACAATGAACACGATGGGAAGGGAAGACTCACAGCCTGAGTGTCTGGTTATTGTGAATACGTTGCGAACACTGTGGGTTTCAGGGCGTGGGGGGAAGGGTGGGGGGAGGATGGCCACCCGTGTCTCTCTCCTCAACGGGACTTCCTTCTCAGGAATGGGCAGGCAGCCCCAGGTGGGGGTGGGTGGCAGAGCTCAGCCCCACCCTTTGATGTAGTTCCCTCATTCGCGGGCTCGTTCACAGGTGAGTGACTGCCCCTGGACCCGGGACAGTCTGGGAGGGTCGTCCTGGGGTAACGTCTGCCCTATGGGGGTGGGGTGGGGAACAGCTGGGGACATCGGGCTGTCACATTACCACCTGAGAGCACATGGCCTCACCCCTCGCCTACACTGTCAGGGCCCTCGTGGGTCCCCAGCCCAAGTAGCCTGCTGGCCCCCCAGCACCCAGGTTGCTTACACGCTGAGCCAGGCTCACTGCACCCAGGCCTCATCACCCTGAGGGCCATGCAGAGCCTTCCCAGGACTGGACCCCAGGCCTTGGGGAGCCCAGGGTGGGTGAGCGGCCCCTGCCTCTGTCCCTACCCTCAGGCGCCCCTGCCCATCCCCCTTTCTCTCTGACCCACCCCCCGGGGCCGCTGGGCAGACCTGAAGGTCCTCCTGAACCACCCCAGTGGGGGGCGGTCCTGCTCAGCAATCCCGAGATCCCAGGGACCCGGGTCAGGCTTGTACAATGGCAAGGCCGCGAACTGACCCCCAGAGCGCACTGGGGAGCTGGGGGTCCTGTACACAGTGTGAGGACAGTGGAGGGCATGTTCGTGACACAGACACGGGGTGCCAGTTGGGACCAACGGGCCACAGGAATACAGGACGTGGGCTGGAGAGGCTCCAGAAGAAGCCTGGAAGCTGAGCTCAGTTCGGGGCCGGGCTCTGGCTGATGGGCGGGGCCTCGCGGGGGGCGGGGCGGGACAGACGCAGTAGGCGGGGCCTACAATCTAGGAAGTCCCAGCTGAGTGGTGAGAACCAGCCTTGGGGGTGTGGTCGGTCCAGGGGCGGGTCTGTGTGGGCGGAGTCTCCTAGGCTGGGGGCTTCAATAGACCAGGCTACCTCTCCAGGTCCACAGACCCAGTGTCAGAACGAGGGGTGAAGAAGACCCTCCGCTTGGGGCCCAGGGAGTGTGGCGCGGACTCGAGAGTCATGGGCTTGTTCCGGGTGATCCCGAAGCTGCTGCATAACCGTGTGGTGATGGCCTGTGCTGCCCCGCGCCACCAGCAGGTCCTCAGGAATGCGGTGAATAGCCGGGACAGAACCGGGTCGGGTTCTGGGGTGCGAGGGGCAGGCTAGTGATGCGAGAGCCTAGTGACCCTGGGGCCTGGGGCCCATGCACTGGTGCAGATGGGTCACCTGGTGCCCCTGGCGCTGTGATTGGGGCCCGGTGGGCATGTGGGGACCAGGGACAAGGTGTGAGGTCCATGGAGTTGAGGCCCAGACCTAGGCGCTGGGGCAGTGGGGTCTGGGGCAGAGGCGTGCCGGCAGCTCCCAGTGGCTGGGGTCCAGGAGTGTGGGCCTGGGGAAGCCAGAACCGGTGCCATCTGGGCTCCGGGTTTGTGCCTGGTCTCTTGGTCTGGTGTCCTCCATGACGTGGCCGTTTGGCAAAATGAACTGGTTCCATGTACCCAGCTGCCTCTGCCCTGAGGCTGCTGGGGAGGGGGAGGGACAGGGCTTTATGGGTGATCTGCAGGGCTGGCAAGGACAGAGGTCACTGATCCCAGGTCCTCAGGGTCCACAGTGTGGGCACTCAGTGGGTCCATTGACACAACCAGCCTCTTTCAGGGACCAGGGACTGTCTTGCTAGGTGAGGATTTCTACGGGACCCACGTAAAGGAGCCCCATTTCCTAAAACAGCGTATTTCTGTCCTTTGCATTTCCTGTGGGCACTATATTTCCAGTTGCTGGGCCCCTGGGGTGGGGGTGGAACAGTGACCTTGGGAATGTCCTGGGAGCTGTTCCACCCCCAGGGTTCGATCCCTGTACCCAGCACCTTTGTCAATACTGTCCCCAGGCGTTTGTGTGACCCGGGTCCACACGTCACTTTCCTGTAGGTCTGGAGATCCGGCTCTGCAAGAAGTGGCTACTGGGGAAAGTTCAGCGTCCGCCACAGGGGCTGAGAGGCCACACTGGCTGTACCCCAACCTGTTCTGTTGGGGACTGCTGAGACCCTCACCCCCTCACGGCCCCTCTTCTCCCATTGCAGGGGCTCAGGTTCACGGTGGTTCCTTCCAAGTTTGAAGAGAATCTCAGTAAAGCCTCCTCCCCCACCCATTTCCTACATGCCATGGAAACAGCCAAGCAGAACGTTGTGGAGGTGGTCAGGAGCATGCACCAGGCAAGGACTCCGCTTCTGCCCCCTGGGGATCTGGGGCTACAGGGGAGGTGGGGGAAGGTGGGGCTCAGGTTTGAAGGAGACCTGTTGCATAAATGCTGTCACAGTGTGCAGTCACGCAGCTTATTCATGGCTGAGGGTTGCAGGGTAGTATACTCTTCCTCTCATGTAGCGTTTGTGTAGCCCAGCTTGTCACAAAGAATTGACGTAGCAGGTCTGTTGCATTGATACTCTATCACAGACTACAGTAATTAGTGTGAAGGTGTCATTTACAATAAAGAATTAATGTAGCTTTCCTATTACATTGTTACCTAATAACACTTACTTATTATTGCAGCTAATAGTATCATTTCTATAATATAGATTGTGAATTACTTTGTTGCTATGTCATAGCGCATTGTAATTCTTACATCAGTATCATTTTTTTAATGCACGTATGACCCGTGTTACCGTACAATACCTTCCTGTAATGAACCCAATGGTGCCTTCCACTGTGTAGCATTAATGCAGCTTATCACTACATGGTATAGTAATATCCTACGGCAGTTGGGATACTACCTGCATTGTAGGTAATACTGTGAGTATTGGTGTAAATGACTGAGTGCTGAGAGACTGATATTCGGCAGGGGGGAGGTTAGTATGCAAGTGCACCCCCAAGGACCCTGTGGGGTACACATGTTGGGGGACTGTATGGGGCCCACACGCTTGTCCCCACCCAGCATGAGGGGGCACACGGGCCTTGCTCTCCCAAGTGAGTCCAGACACCAGCAGTGAGGCCGTCTGTGTGCACCACACCACAGAAATGTGTCCCTTTTGAAGCTGAGCTCGGGTTTCTGCAGAAACACGGGAAGGCCATGGAGGACGCAGATGGTAACCCCCACGGTGCAGAGCCTCCCCCGACTGCCATTGTGGAACTGATAGACGGCTTCAAGGTGTCCAAGGTGACCTGCGGAGGGCCCTGGGGTGGCCGGGAGGGAGGGGACAACCCGGGGCCTAAACCCCAGGAGCTCATCTTGTTTGTGTCCTGGAGACCAGGCGTCTGAGGTCCACGGCTCCCTGGGCCACGCTCCCCCCTCAGGTCCCCAGGGGGGGGTCTCACTGAGCTGCTGTTCCCGCCCAGGCCCTGTTCACGGCTTGCAAGATGAAGGTGTTTGATGTGCTGAGAGACGAAGGCCCCCTGAGTGCGGCGGACGTTGCCAGGAAAATCGATGCCTCTGAGGGTGGAACTGGTCAGCTGCTGGACGTCTGTGCAGCCCTGGGCCTGCTGGACAAGACAGAGGGAGGTGAGGGGACTCGGAGGTGTTTCGTGGAGAATCTCAGAAGGTAGAAGCAGGTCACTGAGTGGACGTGGTCTCTGAGCCCATCACGGATGACCTAATGGGCTGCCCCTCTGCCCCAGATGCCTGGCTGTTTCCCAGAGGGTGGGAGAGAGGTCGGATGGAAGAAAGGAAAAGGTGTGTGTGTGTGTGTGTGTGTGTGTGTGTGTGTGTACAGTGACTCCTCATGTCTCTGCTGTCAGAGGGGCTGTGTCAGTGAGGGACCTCCAGAGACATGGAAGAAACAGGACTTTTCTGTGTGCACTACACAGACAGGGGTTGACTTAGAGAGACAGAGACGAGACGGCAGGAGGAGAGATGAGAGACACATAGATGGATGGATGCATCCTCGCATACAGTGGACGGAAGGGTGGGGAGAAAGCAGAGAGATGGATCGGTGGGGAGGTGGAAGGAAGGACAGAAGGAAGAAGACGGATGTGTAGTGGAAGGTGCAGATGATAGTGGGTGGATGGGGCGATGGGCAGGTGGAGAGTC